AGTAGACGCCTGAGCGTTGGCACTCGTTGACTCCGTTCCCTCTCCGGCGAACTCGTCCTCTTCTTCGACAGGCAAGTGCTGATTCTTGTACAGCAGTAACGCACACGCTTCCGGAATGGACGCTACCATACTACCATTCAGGACTGCTCTCATCTGCTTGTTGCGCAACCCGTCCATGAAGAACTCGAATTGCATGCGGGGCTCGGGGTAGTTTACAGCTTCGCACATCGTCGAAATTCGGTCGCCCCATTCTTCGGCCGACTCGCCGCGGTTTCTCTTAGCGGCCTTGAGTCGCTTCCAGAGTTGCGTCGGAGTCTGACAGATAAAGCGGTTGTGAAAACGCACCCTTAACGTCTCAAAGCCATCGATCCTCGAGTTGTACCACCATATACACTGGCCCACTTTGCCTTTCAGGCATTGCTCGAAGGGCGGTAAATTCTCATCTGGTCGTCCATGCTGTAGGTGCACTTCTTGAAGGAACGCCAAAAAAGCGGCGGGCTCTCTCGCTTGTGGCCGTGTCAGAGTAAAAAGGAACGATGACCTTTTACGGGCGTTCCTCAAACTCGGTGGGGAATCGCAATGTTAGAGGCGTTCCGATACGAAACGGTCTCCGATCGCTGCCGTTCCATATCGGCCATCCTAGCCACCGATAGAGTAGGCCATCGGCTCGTAAGGCAGTCCTGAGCTCGTCGGGTTCCTCCCACTCTGTCTGTCGTCGTAGCTCGGTACTCTAGTACCAGCGTGCCCGCGAAACTCCCCGCCAGAGGTGGCATGTCGCCCACCCACCTCCCAGGTAGCAGACGTTGGAGCCTCCGAGGCTACCGGTGCCGAGGTCCAGGCGGGTCGCGTCCCATGGGCGCTCCATCCAGACGTAGGCGTCACAGGAGGTTGAAAAGGAGAGTAGAACGCCCCGGGCAGAGGCGATCCTGCCCCTCGACTGCTCCAGCCAGGCTGAGGCGTTTGGATTGAAACGCCACCATACGAAGGGATCGCCGCCATCGGCATCCCTGTCGGAGTCGCAGCTACCGTTCCCGGAGTCATCCTTGGGTTCGCGGCCTCTAGGCTCCGGCGCTCTTCCATTGACGAGGGCGGAGCTCGTGTTTGGCGCAACCCTCCCGACGCATCGTTCAGCGAGAGGCCACGGAGCGCTTGTTGGAAGGAGTCGATTAAGAGCGCTTGGAAGGTCGAGTCTGTGTCTCGCGTTCCACTTCCAACAGTCGATGTCACGGTGGACCGAGTAGGGCCCATCCTCGCTCCTCCAGTCGAGACGTTAGCTGGGGCCGCGGTCCTTGCGTCCCTGGAGCGTTCCTCCTCGTTCCTTCCCAATCCTGGTCCTTGCGGACCAGCGGCAGCCGTCACTTTCCTCCCTTCTCCTTCAACAGGTCCCAAGGAAGGGCGGGCTGGGTCAAATGTGAACGCCACGCCCCGTCGACTTCCTGGAGCAGTAGCCGTAGGTTCTGCTCGCGGGTGTGACGCTGCGCCGGTCAGTTCACTAGGAGCAGGTTGGCTGGCGAGCTGCAGCAAGAGGTCTTGAAACTGAGCCCGACCTCTGGGGGTCTCAAGCAGAGAGGTAATCCTCCCTCTCGTTCGGGGAGATGCGAGAGCCCCGTCGAACAGATTGTCATCGTCACTTTGAGCCGCCTGTGCCTCGTAGCCTCAGCCGCTTGTTGGTC